TTAGAACAAAAGTTAAATTATCTTATATTGAAAATAAAAAATTCGACGTAAATATAGACGTCAACGAAACCAATCAGTATGTCACTGGGCACGAGTTTGTAATAATAAGATATGAACTGACCTTGCAATAACGTGTCATCTGACAGAAGAACATGAAAATTATCTAATATTAGAAAAATTTTACATTAAATCGAGCCTAGTCAAGCCTTTATCTGTACTGGTTCGAGCCTACCCAAGTCTACTCTCCTCCAATCTAGGGTAGGCTCGTGCCTACCCAGGCCTCGTGGCTCCGCCGCCTATGCTATTAGTAGATGGTTTGTGTTTTCATCGCACAATTAATCTTGGATATAATCGATATATTAATAGGAAAATGTCTATGAAAAGAAATTTAATTAAAAAATTTCTTTATTTAGACTAGGCCATTTCAATACTTGTTTTCGTTTATAACATGATACATCCACTTATAGTTAATGTTTCGATACATATATATATATCAAATAATCTTCATATACTACATAAAACTTTAATATAGCATCTCTAATATTATGATCTTCGAATCATATCGAAAAATATCTATATATTCTATTTTGTGTATAGAAATATAATAAACTTGTAAATAACAATTATAAAAATTCAATGTGATAAAAAAAACAATAAGAAGAATCTCAACTAATAAAAGTTCAGATAGCACTTTTCTAGTCACTATTATTTTATCGTATGAAGAATGTTCTTACTTGTGTCAGGTTCAAACACAAGTGAAGCGTAAGATCGCACACGTCTATATTTATAATGAATTGAACATTGTTCTTTTCTCCTTGTCTTTTTTCATTGTTGTTCTTTTCTCTGTCGTTTTTCATTGTTGTTCTTTGTTGAAAATTATATATGCATAATCTTTTGTGGACTATTAAGAACTAGCCAATGATGTGCGTTCAGTAAATGGAGAAAGAAAGAAACATCTAGGTAATGGACTCATATTCAGTGTTTCTAATGGAATTCTAAAACAAAATGTACAGTACACGCTGTTTTGGATAAGCAAAGTGTACAGCAAAATGTACGCAGACATTTACATCACCGAAGTGAAGCGAAAGAGCAAAAAAAAAAAGAAAAACTTCTAGTATGAACAAAGATATTTTATAAAATTTTCCAGAATAATGTACACGCTGCTTTTTTAAGTAAAGTATACAGCAGCGTGTATTTTCATAGCTGCAGATGTTTGTACATTTTGCTTCTGCTGTGTACACTTGTCATTAGAAACTCTGCTCATATTTATTTGTTGTAGTGCTAGGATTGGATGAGAACGAGTAACCAATAAAAAATATGTTTTTTTTGTTTTGAAGGGTATTGATTTATCTAGATATTCTCATTTTTCTATCGGTTTTAGCTTTCAAATGAGAGAAGCCTATAAAAAAGATTCACATTAGACAATCTTTTTAACAAAATTCATCACTCTTGTATTCTCTTCCTTAATTATTTACGTAATTATTAATAATATTCTAGCTGATATATATATATTATATTTTATACAAAAATATGACGTTTCCCTGCAGATGGTAACTTCTTCCCAAACAGAGTACAACAGATTTATAATATATATAGTTACTAAAATAGATACTTTTAAATTTCATACACATTTGATAATAGAATAAATAGAAAAACAGAAACATATGTTCTTTTTTGTTTCTTCTTTCTTTACTTAAACATTAATACGGAACACGACGGTAACGGTGATAGTCTGAACTGATGGCTCATTGCCGTATCAATATTTAAGTTAAGGAAGAAGAAATTCAGATCGAGAAAGCAATCTCATAAGGAAATGTCAATCGTCGTATATTAGTGTACATTTGGCTCTGTATTATAATCGTATTACTTAGGTTTTCGTCATAAAAATTTGTATTTCCTAAGTTAACTAAGCACTGTTGCAAACGGCTCTCTTAGATGGTTCTCTCACTCTTCGAGCCCTTACACAAGCCCTGTCTATTATTATTCTATTGTAACATGTATAGTCAGTTTAAAAACGTGTATTTTACTAAATGTAGGATATGGATTTATGAGAATAAGGGTGCATGAGGTCATCGATTTATCCTTAACCTCAAGTCCTCACCATCATGCACATCTTCTAGTTGCCTTATCCGCACTCACACCCTTATAAATAACAGTAAATCGTTGAAGCCAAAATTCACTAAACGAAAGATGCATTTGAGTGTGAGGAATTTGACATTTACAGGCTTTCTTGGACAATACAGGAAGGATAGCGTCACTATATCAACAGGGACGCTATGAGATCATATTTTTATTTCTATTATTGTACGTATTTTTTCTTCAACTGAATCTTTCGATTGAAGAAAAACCATAACTATTGTTAAGATATAAGCACCTCGAATGAAATCTTCTCTTTCTTTTCTTAACTATTTGAAAGATTTATGCGCAAATCTACTGAACAACAAGAGAAGTCTTCTGAAATCAATTGTTTTGAGTTGCTCTGTCTCATTAGATCGCAACTATGTTTTTGATTATGACGATAAATTAAATACTTCTGAGTAAAACTGTTAGCAAAGAGTTTTTATTCCGATGAATCGCTTGAACGAAGTAAATCTCAATTAGACCTTATAGTTTCGAGTCAGTGACCTTCTCTCGAGAATTGAGCTTCGCATCTATGTCTGTTCTACAAAAAGAAACGAATTCGATTGATCGAGATTCTTGAT